ATGTTCCCTAGTTGGGTCATGAAACAGTCAGCAAGAAACCCACCCAGATCAGAGAGAACCAAGGACTCCCTCTCGTTTCAACCCAGAGCTACACATATTCTCCTTTATCGATCATGTATCTAGCAGGCTTCCTAGCTTAAACCAGGGTCGCTGGTGGCCCTCCAGCAGCGCAGCCCCTCCTCCTTCCAAAGCTAGAAATCCTGCGCGTGTGTGTAACTAGTGTGTGTGTGTGTAGCAGCTGGAACGGAAATCCAGCCCCGCGGAGGAGCCCATTTGCGCCCTTGGGCCTCTCGCTCCGCGCTTGGAAAAAGCGCAAAAAAGGGGAAACCACCCACCGGCGAGGAGGCGCCCGCGGGCGGCGCGCTTGCAGAATCTGCACCGGTGTGGAGGTGGGGGGGGGGGGGGGGGGCAGCAGAGGCCGGGGGGGGGGGGGGGGGGGGGGGGGGGGAGAGAGAAAGCGGCTCACCCTTTATCAGATGCCTCTCCACCGTGTCCCTGACGGCTCTCCAGTGCATGCCCGGCGGCTTGTAGACCGCGAAGAGCCCTTGCAACGCCGTGCCCGCCGCAGCCGCAGCCGCCCGCATGGTGCCCGCCCTGTCTCTCCCGCCCCGTCCTCGGCCGGCGCAACCGCCTCTCCGGTCCCTCCCCGGCTTAGCACTGCCGGGTTCGGCTCTACTGCAAATAGAGTCCCGCCGGGAACACGAGCCCCCGTCCGATCCGAGGCAAGCGCCAAAGCGCAAGCGGTTGCTGCGCGCAACGCCCGGAAGCAACGTGCCAAGCGGGTTGTGGGGGGAGGGGGGCTGCTTGGAAGACCGGGGTTGGGGAGGGGGTCTTTGCATCAGGTGGGCAACTCCAACACACACACACACACACACACACACACACAGAGAGAGAGAGAGACAGACAGACACACACACCGGTCCCTACATCCAGAATACTCCGCGGTGCGGAGAATCGGTGCGCAAGGCGCCTTGGAGGTCAGTGGCTCGGGGAAAAAAAAAAGGAGGGAGGGAGGGGCGTTGCGGGTCCCTCGAGGTTCCCTCCCTCCCCGTTGCCTTTGCAAGGCTGCGGAGGATGGGCTTTGGAACGCAACGGTGGGGAGCCGCCAGCTCTTCCCTCCACAAAAGGCGCCACCAGATCCGTTGGCACCCAAAGGCGACGTGGCTCGACCTTGGCCCCCCCTTGAAAGATGGGGGGTGGGTGGGCTTCAACTCCCAGAATCCACCCCCTCTCCCCACATCTGGGAGTTGGAAGCCCACCGGGCTTAAAGGGTCCAAGGTGGAGCCGTGCCGCGTGTTCATCTGTGGGATAATTTTAATAATAAAGTTAAAATTATAATAAAGTTCTGGTTACTTTCTGGGGTGCAAAGCGCGTCCGCTTTGCTTTTACCGATTTATTTCTGCTGGCTGGGAAAGGTGGGCGTTGGTTGTCACAGCCGAATGCAACAGTTTGGGTGGGGGGAGGGTGTCTGGGGTCCTGTATGCGTGTGTCCCCCCCCCTCTCCTTTCTCCCTCTTGCCTTGCAAAACGGGTAGGGGATTGCACTACTCCGCCATCCCAATCCGCAGCAATTCCTTCCTTAAATCCCAAGCGAAACCCTCCTTCCCTGCTTTGTGTGCGTTGCATCCCCAAACCCCCAAAACTTTAACCTTAGACCGTCTACTGTTGACCTCACCCCTTTCCTAAGAGGCCTGTAGGGGGCGTGCATAAGCGCACCAACATGCCTACCGTCCTTGTCCTATTGTTTCTTTTTATTTGTCTTATATGTATCCATTTCATATGCTTATAACTATGTTTATACTTATACCTGTTGTCTTATAATCGCTTGACAAAATAAATAACAGAAATGCTTCTTTGGAAGGCAGGGAGCAGGGGGTTGTTTCGAAGTCGCCGCTAGAGGGCGCTCTCCTCCACTTTTCTCTTTTGCTCTTCTTGGCCAGAGGGTGGCGCTGTCCAAACTTGGATAAAACGTCTTATTATTCCCGTCCTTCTCTTGCAACAGTGCGTTTACTTGCCCTGCTCTGGGGGAAAAAAATGCCTTTAAAACAACAGCAACAACAAACCTCGTTTTGTATAATTTTGCCTCACAGAGGAAAATCCCAACCATGCACAGGCTGCTGTCCAGAGGTGCTGTGAGATTCCTGCCTTGGATAGGGAACGTGGGGAGCGTTTTCGAGTCCAGCTGGCTCACAGGCAAGTTTTCCAGATCCTCGTTCTCAAAACGCCTCCCTTTCTGATTTAAAAAATAATAATACATTGATATGCCCTCACCTTGCCATCGTGCAGCTTGTAATGCTCTTTGGTTGCAGAGGAACGGATTGTGCAGGAGTCACGCATTCCTACCAATACTCTTTAACATTAGCAGTGCTGCGTTTTAAAGGAGTTTAATTTTAATGACATGATGGCATTCTTCCAGTATTTCGAGAGGCTGTCAGGCCAGGGGTGGGATTTTACCAGTTCGCTACAACCGGTTGTTAACATTCTAAGCAGTTCGGAGAACCGGTTGTGAAAAGAAATTACTGGGCTAATCCTGTAAGGCAGGCAAGAAGGAAACATTCTGGTGTTGCTTACAGAAACTGCCTCTCTGTTAACCCTTATTATGTTCTGGGCAGGACTAGACTTCCTGTCTCTGGAACTTCTGGAGTTTTTTTCCCTCTCCTTTGCTGGTACTTTGCTTGTGTGGAGGGACCATTGAAAAAAGTGACTTATGACCGTTTTTCACACTTACGGCTGTTGCAGCATCCCCACAGTCGTGAGAGGCCAGGCGCAGACATGCATACCTCAATGTGAGTGATATTGAGTTGGCCATGCCCAACCAGTAATATAACCACCAAGCCATGTCCACCCAGTCACATGACCCCAAGCCACACCCACCAACTAAGCCACGCCCACAGAACCCATTGTTAAAAAATTTGAATCCCACCCTGAGTCAGGCTATTCCCCAAAGCCCCTGAAGGCAGGACAAGAAGCAACGGATGGAAACTAATCAAGGAGAGAAGCAATCTGGAACTGGGGAGGAATTTCCTGACAATGAGGACAATTAACCAGTGGAACGGCTTGCCACTAAAAGTTGTAAATGCTCCAACACTGGAGGCTTTTAAGAAGAGACTGAGCAGCCAGTTGTCTGGAATGGCACAAGGTATCCTGCTTGAGCAGGGGATTGGACTAGATACAGATGCAGATTAACAGAGTTGGAAGGGACCTTGTCGGTCATCTAGTCCAGCCCAAGCAGGAGACCCTACATCATTGCTGACAGATGGCAGTCCAGTCTCTTCTTGAAAACTTCCAGGGATGAAGCTCCCACAACTCCTTCCTTCCTTCCTTCCTTCCTTCCTTCCTTCCTTCCTTCCTTCCTTCCTTCCTTCCTTCCTTCCTTCCTTCCTTTCTTTCTTTCTTTCTTTCTTTCTTTCTTTCTTTCTTTCTTTTTTCTTTCTTTCTTTCTTTCTTTCTTTCTTTCTTTCTTTCTTTCTTTCTTTCTTTCTTTCTTTCTCTCTTTCTCTCTTTCTCTCTTTCTCTCTCTCTCCCTCCCTCCCTATCTGTCTATCAGATTAACCAAATTGGGAGAGACCTTGGAGGTCTTCTAGTCCAACCCTCTTCTCTGGCAAGAAACCCTACACCATGTCTGACAAAAGGCAGTCTAATATCCTCTTAAAAGTCTCAAGTGATGAAACTCCCACAACTTCCGAAGGCAACTTCTATTCCATGGGTTGATTGTCAGAAAATTCCTTTTTATTTCTAGGTTGAATCAATCAATCAGAATAGAGCTGGAAGGGACCTTGTAGGTCATCTAGTCCAACCCCCCCCCCCC